GCTGTAGGCAATAAATCGAAGGTCCATTAGTGTACAGTATTAATTAAGTACTTAAAATAATTATTGATGAATATTCTAATCTGCCTTTGTGGAAATTCCCATCTCAATCCCGATCGTAGGCCTATTAATTTGACACTGACATTAAACTACGCTTGATGATTGTTTACAATTTGACTGCAGTGTACTGCGAAGAAAACTTCACACTTCTTCTCCAAAACCCTATCTGGATGAAATGAATGCTTATCTTCGAAGATGCCGAAAGTTTTTGTAGGCACCGCTGATACTGCTAAACAGGAGATAAACTCTGCATATTTTCTTGGTCTAGGACTAGTCACTTTTATTTTGATTTTCATTGCGAACGCTTCACACTGCTGTCCTTTCTATGATAACATGAGTTTCTAAAATGTTTCAAGCCGTCGTCAACTTACGATACCGACGATGCTGCTGCTGGGTAAAAGAAATAATAAATATTTCATTAATTTGCCTTTGCCTTTGTGGCAAGGCCCATCTCGATCCCGATCGTATAAATTTGACACTGACATTAAACTACACTTGGTGATTGTTTACAATTATACTTTGCTGTGTACCGCGAAGAAAACTTGTCACACTTCCATACTCCAAAAACCTATCTGCAATAATTTAATAATTTAATAATGTCATAAAATAATTCAAAATAGGGGGTGGGCAAGTAAAAAATTGTGAGGGCAACCAAATTTGAGATAGTGGTTGCCCGAAGGGCTACCTAATATTTCATAATTCTGCCACTGTGGTGGATTTCTAATTGGCTAGCCATGATACACTGTTGGCTGTTTTAGGCATGTCTTCCTTTGAGCAAGGTTTCATTACTAATAAAAATTTACCAACGTGTTTTGAAGCAACTTGTATTTTCAACTGGCTCCTGTCTTAAGTCGACTAGCCATTTGGCTCTTTTTTACCATGAGGCTAATCAAAATTTAATTTCCATCGACGAAGCATGGGCCTAACTGTATCATACTGCACACTGTCAATTAGGATTTCTGTAAATTTCATATTTTCCTGTTTAACTATTTTTATTGTACGGTTGTAAATTGATTTGAACATTTACCTTGAATATGCCTGCAGAAGCAGATACACTTAAATTGACAAATGTATTTGAATTGAAATTAGCAGCCGGTTAGGCTTAATATACAACTTTAGAATCTGTAAGGAACCACAATCAAATTCTGTGAAAAATTAGGCCTAGAACTTATGAAACTAATAATCGATTATTACTTTTTCCCCAGGAAAGCACTACGTGGCATCTTGCTCCTTTTGCCTCTGCTTGGAGTCACAGGAATAATTTTTGTTGTCAACTCCGGCCACAGCAATCCAGCCTTGATTATCGCTAACGCTTTACTTCATTCATTCGAGGGATTTTTTGTCGTTCTGATCTACGTGTTTTGCAACCAAGAGGTATTACATCCTACAGCCATTATTGACAAACTGATACAATGATGATGATGATGATAATGATGTTAAAAAAAGCTGCTATCATAGTTGCTTGTGTTTTAAGTGTCTTATCTGTTTATTTGAGTTGATTACTTATATTTTTTTTTCAGGTACAGAGGGTAATCAAACGAAAGATACATCACTGGCGGGAAGAACAGTCGTTACCAACCCGACAAGTATCGCGACGCGGATCCCACTCTCGACAGAATAGCATCGTAAGTGCTATGTTTGCCAAACAAAATGGCGACACGGTAGACTTCGATAAGACTCGGCATAATTCAAAAGTAGGATGTTGCAACTTTACAAAATCACAGAAAGCCGAGGGCTACAATATGATTACCACACATTCGTTTGACGTGAGCACACGACAATGTTCACTAGATGGATTAACCAGTGAAAAGTGCTTCAGTAAACCAGGTTTTGAGTCTATATCTGAAGTGAGCACTGGGCAGGAAAATTCGTGCGGTAAATCGGATACCACATCAGTTGTCTACCATGAAAAACAACCAGATTCGAATCAAAATGTTACGGTTCCGTCTGGTAATGGATCCATCAATCAATTAACAGCAACACATAATGAATCTGACACTGCGCCAGATTCTGAATTGAACCCAACTAATTTAAACTGTACACAGTTGAGGGAAGAAAATAATGATGACATTTCACTTACTTTAGAAGAATGCTCTGAAGTTCCTGAGCCAGAGGAACATAATGCTCTCCTAGAAAAAGAACATGAGTCGGAACTCCGGCCCAATGATGATGATGATTGTGAGGTGGACTCGGCCCTCATGGCTAAACAAGATGAAGACACTGTGTTAACTGACGACATAAATGTAGATGTTAAAAGCAAGAATAGTATGATAATTCCAAAAGGATTGACTATAGGAACGCAACTTTGATAAAAAAAAACAAAAAAAAAACAAAAAAAACATGTATGTACGTTACTGCCTCATTGTAAGCGGGACCTGAGGAAATGTAATGTATTTTGTATAGAATGTGTTGGAAGATAATTATGAAATATGAACGTTTAATATGTGACCAATGAATGTCCATACTGTATTTCTGAAAACCGTTCTATTTAATTATGTAAATATTTGACTAAGTTTCAAATTGTAAAATGAATAGGCCAAAGCGGACTGACTTTTTAACCGCAACTTGGGCCATGTCTTTTAATCTGCCGATTTATTTGTACATATTATGTGTTTTGTATATACTGCTGATGTACTTGTTATGTGCCAAATTTTGATACCGTACGTATATATATCTCGACTCTTATTTTTTACTTTTCTTTGTAAAATTATTTTACTTTAGAGGATATTTTCATAATTAATTTCATAAATCATCCATAAAACGTTAGGCCCTATAGGGTGAAATGTGTCGTTCCATTTTTCACATTATCATTCGTGGTGGCGTATCCTTTAATACGTACATTTCATTTTTGTTTGTAATTCAGTCATATCCTGTAAAATAACTCTATTCCATGTTTATGATTAAAGTTTGTTGACAGATCTGGCAAATAGGAACAAGGCCAAAAGCAATGTATTATCAGGGGCGGATTTAGAGGGGACGGGCCGGCTCCGCCCCCTCCCCCTCCCCCACTTTTGAAAAGTCAAAAAAAATTTTTTTTTTAATTGATCACTCAAAAGGCCACAGAGGTTATTTTCGGGCTTCTAGAACACAGAAATTTCGTGGGGACATGTCCCCGGACCCCTGGGGAGTTGCTATCTCGATCGGCCCCTTCTGGTCCCCCCTTTTGGACATCTCTGGATCCGCCCCTGATTATTGTGTTGCCCTTAACTGAAAAAAAATAAGACGTGACGTGTAATTCCAAATGGAGTTAATGTTGAAAAAGTGATGGTGCTTAATTCTGTTAGTCCACTTGAAGAATACGAAAATTGCCTACTGACCTTTGACACCGCTGTAACAAATTTCTACATTACATTAGATTGAATTAATTTTTGGACAATCAAGAAATATTATATTTTGACAATATTGAGTTTAGCACAATCTTTCTAGTTAACACTTCTCCTATTTTTATCAAATCTAATTTTTATTTTGTTTATTATGAGTGAATGAATTACCATTGTTTTGTAATTATGTACTAGTTAATTCCAATAATAACTGAAATATGTTTTGTGTATTGTTTGTGTATTTGGCACGTAATTTTAAGACGTGCTTTTAATTAAATTGTTTAAGAGATTTTGCCGAAATATTGTTTAAAACATTTGCAGCTAATTTACAAAAGTATTAAGGTGAGTATGTATATAATAGGCCTCATTATCTTGAAAGGTGGTTATTTGATTATAGGGTAAAATGTACATTTTTGGTTGCTTTATTCATGGTAGATAATTATAATTTACACAAAAATAGTGAGTAGAGCTATAGCCTTGTGGTAAATGAGCTAGTCTTCCATTACTGTTCCATTAGCCGTCTTCTTCTGAAGTGATTACAGGTTTAAATACTGTCATACACCGAAATTATCATTTACTTACGATTAAAAGCAACTCGATCTCTACACCTCAGTGGTTTTTAGAGCCCTTTACTATATTCTATTCCGTGTAGTGATTATTTTTTAATTGGATATAAAAAACAATTACATTTCTAATTTTTCAAAGAATGTTTGGGTCAGCATAATTCACTGTCTTGCAGATTGATTGAGGTTAATAGTGATCATTGAATTCAAATTATTCATGGAGTAATATTATTAAATAATTTCTCCGATTCTGTGTTTATGCTGCATTTTAGATATGAAGAACATCATGTGTCAAATAATTATATATTCTGTTGCATATTTAATCATTTTAGATATTTCTTGATAGGCCTACAGTATTGCTTATTAAAACAATCGCAACTCGTAACTTAAAATGTATGCTTTCACAATCACGTTTTGAGCGATATGCTAGACATTTACCACAGTCGCTTATTGTCAGTATTTTTAGATGTTGTATGTACCGGTAACTATTAACTAAGTGAAGAATTTGAATGATATAGTGCATGCTGGTGGTGATGGAATAAAATGATTAAGATCATTATGGGCCCACCGGGCTGAAGGACATATCGAGGTTTCTACGTTTTAGACAGTTAGGTCTTGTTTAATTGATTCAAAGGAATAATAAAATAATTAAAATGTTTCATGTTCTTAGTTTTTGAGAGCAACATTACTGTGTTGGGTTGTAGTGTGGTTTTTGGACGGATACAATCTGAGTGTCGATTATAGGCAAAACACGTGGCAGATTTTAACATAGGCGTAGTGTCGAATCGGAGTTGAATTATGTTTTATAATAATTATCCAATGTTTGATTAATGAAGGGTAAAATTGTGGTATCAGTATTGACAATTTCTATTTTATCAACAATATCATTTCATTTGGGGCAATTTGTGGACATGACGGGGGACATGGAAATAGGAAGAGTCCCTGTGCGCCCATCGCACTGTATACTGGCATGTATTCCAATCTCTCTGAATTCGTTTGAACCCATATCTCAGGGAGAAATTACAACTCAGATACCAAAAAAAAAACAAGTGTTATGTAGACTTAAGAATCTATGCCCATCAAAGTTCCTAAACGTTCATGAGAGACAGTAGTAATGATAATCAAGCCATTCTGTTTAATATGCTATACTTTGTAAGATTAAAGACCTACATTAATTTTAAGAGAGTTTTTTTATCATCTCAAATCACCTTGTTTTCCTTAATCACACGGAATTGATATTTTCATGTCCAGTGAGCTAATATTGAGGACGTTCCAATTGCTTTTGATATGTTCGCCACCGTTTATTATGAAGGTTCAAAATATAATTTTTATATAAAGTTTTACAGTGTCTCTGTTCATATAATCTTGTTGATGATCCATGTGACAGTATTGAATATTTGTGGAAGCGGTCACATTACCGGTACGTATTTTTGCACGTAACCCTGCCGATGATTAATGTACGTTACAAATGGTTAAGTTCGTATAAAAGCCAAACGAAAGGATAAGGCCTGTTTTCTAGACAGACAGAAGAGGGACGGACTGGGGAAGAGTTTATTGAGCTCAGCTTTATAGTAATGAATCAATAATAATAAAAGTTATGAGAAAAACAAATTGATATTTAGTTTTATTGTGAATTCACATTTAAGTTACCTTATGAGTTATCTCAACCTATTCAGAACAGTACTATACTGGTATTATAACTCTTCTCCTCCCAAAGCCACCAATTACCCAAGAAAGCATTTTAAATTTTGCCATATCTTCCAAATGGACTGATTGCTTAATGACCAAAATATTACATCTACCCTTCTGAGTGCATGTACCATTGCACAGCATTAAAGAATTTGTTGAATAATAAAATAAAGCCTAGCTGCAGTGGTGGGTCCAGGGGTGCGAAAGACCTACCCCACCTTGGTAGTAGAAAAAAAGAATCTGTGTGAAATTGTTTAGATAAATATTAATATATGGTATCAATTCAAAGCTCTTTGCTGCATTAAAAGCGTAGCCCTATGGCCTGGGTTCTTCTTGGGTTGTTAAAACTGTAAACCCCTGTCCAGACTACTACAAAAACATGTGACATGCCTAAATATGGTCATAATGACAGCACATCATGACCATATATAGGTGTAGGCGCACCATGACTATAGAAAAAAATATTATATCACTCTTTAAAAAAAACTGTGATAAGGGCGGGCGGTTTTTTTTTTTTTTTTTTTTTTTTTTAATTGGAACAATAGAATATTGCTTTTTTTTTTTTATTGATGAGGGAGGGACTGTTTTAATTTGGCAAGAATATTTTAAATATTGTATAAAAACTGGTTTAATTTTGTTGTTTTTTTAAAGAAAATGTATTTTCAGTCACGATATTGCATTGTTTTTTAAGCTGTTGAAATAATTGTTGCGGCAATTTTTTTTTCCCCGCATCATATTTCTTAAATTTTTGACGTGGAAGGGAGTGATAATCTAAATATTTATGTGCCCATATTATATGCACACAACAGTTTTTTGTCAAGAATGTCATAATCTTGACAGAGCTTAAAAGTATACATTAAATGTACATATGATCTGGGGAAAAAACAAGTACAATATATACAAGTATATATATTTGTTTAGATATGTTGTACAACTGATTTTTCTAAGACACAAAAAGCATATTGGCGGGAAACTTGTGTGAGAGGTTAATGAGATGCAGATTCTTAAATATTTAAAAACTGGGAGGACAAAAAGGTGGAAAGAAATGGTGGTTAATTTTTGTGTACAACATATCAAACAAAGTTTTTCTCCGGAGCCTAGCTTTATAAAAAAAATAGTGTACATGTATGCATCAATACTGTCTCATTTTCAATATGTGGAACAGGATCATAATTTTCACATGATTATTTTTCTCATGCAATGAAAGTAGAAGCAATCACCTTCAATCTGCTCAGGAAATCCATGCCTGCATTATTAATCCAGTTATAAGTACTTTGATGATATAAACGTCAGAATATGTGACGGTAGTTTGTGTCTGACGCCTGCCTGCATACAATTTTATGACGCGAGACGGTTTGGAGGTGGCCAACAAGAAAGAGAACTTATCTTGGTTCTGTTATCCTAAAACAGATTTTTTTTCCCCTTTTTTTTAAAAATAAAAACAGTTTTTTTTTAACTTTTTTTTTTTTAATACGGTACTCATCAGACGGAATAAAAATAACCCAGAGGCCTAGAATGGCAATATCTTACATCAGACAACAACTTTAGACTAATTTGTAGGGCATCTGGCAAAAACTAAAGATAAATTCACTCACATTTTTTTCAATTTGTAAAAAAAGAAGCTAAAAAAATTACAAACAGTTGGTTTCAACTGAGTTGTTAACCTGGGTTAACAACTCAGTTGGTTTCATCTGAGTTGTTAACCCAGGTAAAACAATAAATAAATAAATAAATCCCAAGTTTTGGTGTGACCGGAAAGTTTTGGTGTGACCGGAAATGGTCTGCAGTCAGTTGGTTTTTACCATGCGCCAGTGATGTTGGAGTACAGCAACATGAAACTATTTATGCGTATTTATGTAATGCATGAATAAAGTTTGGGGTTTGTCGGGTAGTGAAATGATTATTGTACATTTTAAGCGCTCCAGTTACTCCATGCATAAATGTAAGCTAAATTACAGCGATTAATTAGCGAAGATATGGAGACATACGGTTTCATGAGCCAAGAGGGGATGCAAATGCTTTGTGAAAATGAGTATTTTTAAAGGTAAGTATAAGATCGAGAATATATAAGAATGTTTATGAGTAGGGCCAGTAATCGGTTACTGGCCCTACTCATCATAAATCATAAATATGTATCCTCTTCATGAATCTGTATCCTCTTCAGAACAGTTGAGTGAATACAGATATTATAATAAGAGTACAGATAGTTGAAACAATAGAAGTTGAATTGGGTTGAGTTGAATGTAGAGAGTCTAGATTAAGAAGAATGCAAAGCCAAACCCTGCCGTATTGGCAAGATAAGTCAATAAGGCTCTCTGACTGGTCAGTACTAATTAGTGTGCCTCCGGGCCTTTAAAGTCAGGCTCTGCGAGGAATAAAAATGTTTGATATGTTGTAGAACTGATTTTTCTAAGACAGAAAAAAGTAGTTTGATCAAAAACTGAGCAACGGTGAATGAGATACAGATTTTTGAATATTTAAAAACGTGGAGGAAAAGGTGTAAAAATGGGCGGTTACGGCCCTTTTCCCCCAGTTTTTAAATATTCCGTCAAAAATCTGTATCTCATCATGATCTCATTCACCGTTGCTCAGTTTTTGATCAAACTACTTTTTTCTGCCTTAGATTAGAAAAATCAGTTCTACAACATAAAACATTTTTTTCCCGGCTCCGGAGTCTGACTTTAATTACTTTTTACCATACTGAACAGGTCCTACTTACTGGTAGCGGACAGGGCTAGTATAAGGTAAATGTCACATACTAAACTAGGGTAGAGGATTAAATTCACTAGTTTAAACCTTATATAAACCAAGAAGGTATAAAAATATAAACAAGTATCTACCTACCAATATGTAACGTATTTACTACAAGCCTCGCTCTACTAGTCCGGCAGGTTAGCAGATGGATGTGGACGTTCCGGACAAAAGCACCAATTTTTTTTTACATGCTTCTTATGGTCATAGCATTCAAGTTTTGGTAGGAACCACCTCATCCGAGGTCATTATGGCGGCCATCTTGGATTTCAAAATGGCCGCCTAATAAAACCTACGTTTATCTATATCTTTGCTTCTAAACCCTAACATAACCCTAGGCCTAACATTAGGGCAATCCATATTTTCGTTAGCTCTAGTTTAGATTGCACAGGAACAATTAAATTGTCGTTTTCTGTTGATGTCTACGCTAAATTCAATGTACTTTACATGTAAGAAATTAATGTAGGCTGGCTTCACAAAAAGGAAATTATTTATTTACGAGTTATAGTGATGAAATTTTGAACGAGAATTTACCCAACTAACCCGTAAGTTAACCCTAACGTAACCCTAGCTTTTCCCCGAATCTATATAGAGTACTACCAGAAACATGCTAATTTTCACTTTCTGCTGATGTCTAAACTAACACAAATTTACTTTTTTATGTCCATAAATGAATAGAGTTTCGCATCTTTAAAAGTAAAAAGCTTCATCTAACCAACAACTGCATTATTCAATGGCTGTCTCTTATACACATCTAGATGTGTATAAGAGACAGCATGTGCACGAGATTTTGAGAGAAAACATGTTTTCTCCAATTAGTTGTATAATAAAACGAAATATTTTTATTCAATTACTGAGAGCATGTTAAAATCATACATGTTCAATCCAAACTTGCTAAAAAAAATCAAGCTTTTATTTAAAAAACGACGTTTTTTGTATTGGTCCACACATGTGCATTATCAAAAACACAACTAAAAATCGCCGAAAAACCCTATTTCTAGTTATCGAACCGCTATGAAAATCCGGGAAAACGTCTCCTGGGTATTTTTTAGCCTAGGAAAAATATAATCATATCAATTTCATATCAGTAAGTTTGGTTTTGCTATTAGGAATTTGGAAAATTCGGCTTTGTAACAAATTGCCTATACCTTATATAGACCCCGACTGATTTTTTTGTCGCAAAATCGTGATTTTTCACAGATTTTCTTGAGCGAGGTGTCAAAATGACGGGAGACATGAGTGTTAATGGGAGAAAGTTGAAATCTCCCACAAAACTGCAAATAATTAGCAAATTAATTAATTTTTAGCTGAGAGAATAGGATTTTTGTGTTAATCCCCACATGTGCAGTGGAGACTCTCACCGGTTAGCAAAAATGCACATCTGTGTTATCGATGAATACCTAGCTGTCCACAAATGTGCATTTTTCTCTCAAAAAACTATAGAGGGCTGGTGTGCATTTGTGCAAGTGCGCTCTGGAGAGAGAGCGAGAGAGAGAGTGAGGGAGAGAGAAAAAACGGAAACAAACATCGCTGGCTGTGCAATCAATATTTACCAGTTCAATATGTAAACACCATGATTTGTGATACAATGATTTAGTTCTTTTAGTTTGTAGTACGTAATGGTAAGAAAATTCGGTACTGTGTCTAAGATTGTAAGATATAACTCGCCGGTCTGCTAATAAATGATTGAGTCTATGACTTTCATTCTTTAATTAGTTTAAGTTAGGTTGTATAATAGAATCATGAAAAAGATAGTTCTGATAGTGACATTGATTTATTGTTTTAAGTAGGCCTACTGCAATAAAATTTAGAGGCGAGTTTAGAAAGTTTTAGATAAAAAGTATAATAAAGTGTTCATAGGTTTGTTTTAACACCGGTTTGTTACTAACGTAACTTTCATTCTAATTGAAGAGAGCCACGGATTTATCATTGATGAAATAACAGGCCCTTAAAATTATTGCTATAGATCGACTAATTGTACGTTATTTAGCACATAAAATCAAATTTAGATCGATCTTAATATTTAAAAGGCTATTTTGATGTTAGCTGGGCATTTAATTATGGTGATTAATTAAAAAACAAAAAGTGAAAGATTGACATTGTTCTGTGTAGGCCTATATCATTTTAATTTCTTCAATTTCAAACATTTGACAGTTGATTTTTGTGTAATTTTTGTATTCATTAGCTCACCCCGCCCTCGATAAACTAACGTTAGGGTTATCTCACTATATTAATTGGATTAACACATTATCAAGGATAAGTACTGAGTGTTTAACACTGGTGTCCTTGGATTCAATTATAGGTAAACGGATTAGTTGCCCTTTTTATGAGGTTTTAATTGTTGTTTACCGCCGAAAGTGCGGTATTCTAACGTTAGTTTATGGAGGGCTGGTCGGCCTATGAACATTATGTACCCATTGTTGTCTTCTAATCGGATTAAAATCTGGCCAAATTTGGCCGTGAGATGGCGTGTGTTTGGCCGTGACGCGAACTTAAGCCAGTCGACTATCTGCTGGCAACCCTGGACCACAATCTGGATCGGACCGAACTTCCTTGATTGGACGGATAAATTGTTATTACAAATGGTACAAGGCGCTGCGGAAACTTCAATTTTTGTGATTTTAATTACATTAGGCATAGCCTAGGCCCTATAGTTTACGTGGCTTTGGTAGTGGGCCTAGCTGTAAGTAGGCCCTAGGACCTACCTACCACTTGGTTAAGCCTAGGCTACCTAGGCCCAAGGAGGGCCTAGGCCTAGTTGTCTGTTTAGGCCCAGCTAAGCCTAGTTAGTTTAGTAATAGTAGCTGCACGCCCATGATGGTAGGCTTAAGCCTGTGTATATGTACCTAACACTAGGGCCAGACCTAGGTTAAACATTTCTTTTCCTGGTGTAGTACCAAGGAGATAAGCCCTTCCAAACAGCATGGCTAACATCAAACTCTTTTAATAGAGCTACTAACAATGAATAATAATAGATAGGTACTAAGGCAACGTAAAAAAAAAATTACATCCTTTTGGTATCAAATTTCATGGTAGGGATGGAGGTTTTTTTTTTTTTTTCGTCGAACATGAAAAACCAGCGTCGGAAGGAAAATTAGCAAAACAAAGCAGAGGAAAACAACAGAGTCCAAAATTGGATACAAGAAATCATGTAATTCATCTACAGCAAGCAGATAAACTTTGCCTATATGAATAAGAGTCATATTGAAGTTTTAAAACATGCAACATTGTATATGTTTACAGAACTGATGATATCGATAATAGGTTTATAAAGCATTCCATCCAAAGTGGCGAGTGTAATTGCTGTTGGATGTGAAATTTAAAATAGAAATAACAAAAGCAAAATAAGTAGATTGAAGTTTGTCATAGTCTTATAATAATTCATTATTGTCCATTCATAAACAAAAACGTAATTTTTGAACTGGCATTTTGTAAAATGGATTACTATTTGTGATTGTTTATTCAACAACTATACTAGAGATATGTACATAGAGTGATAATACTCAATAGTGAGTACTGTTAATGAGTTTGACTAGTATCATGTGCTATGTTTATGCTGAGAAACACTTTGACATCTAGTTGGACCAGCTGTTTTGGAAACATCACGTCACTGTACCAGCATGTGAATATTCCATGCTTTATGTTTAAGTTTGTGTTTGCTGGACATTATAACAGAATCATACTGGGTTTGTTGTTGGAACAACACAACAATCATCATTGATGCCATGCAGGCGTTTCGCCAGAAAAACCAAAATAGACGGCCTATTTTGTTTTTCCAAAATGGAAGCCAGTGGGCGAGGCAACGAGCCGATGGGCGGGCCATGCCCATCGTTAGCAATCCCCACCGATTAACGGTACGAAAACGTACATTCAATCAAAAATGTTGTTTTTATCAAATGTAAATGTGATTTAGCTTTAGTTTAATGTAACATTCGATAGATTTGAAGAATATATAGAATTTGCCCAAAAAATTTGTCCAAAAGACGGCCGGACGACTCGCTCGCTAATATACGCATGCACTATCTTGCCACTATATATTTTATATTTCCAGTAATAAATTTATCTATGCTATCTTACCTATGAAATAGCGTGAAATATTTGTTTTATTTAGACTATCTTTAAAATTTTATTTCGTGAAATATTGCACACATGTAAGAAGTGAACACGCCAGAGTTTTAAACTGATGGGTGCAGCCATGTTTGTTGTCTTGTCTTGTCTCCGGTCACCACAGAGCGTTCCTCCTTGTTTCTTTTTCGCGCTGTGGATGTCTACTTCCAAAGTGATGGAAATACCAACGCGCTGATTGGCCGACTTGGCTTTTCTGCACAAAGCATGAGGCGTAAGCATCGGATCGGAGTTTAGTTTGCTAATATAAACCTAATCCCGGTAAATCTTAATGCTTTGCATTGGCTACCGTGTATACAAATGCACTCTTTTTATACTACTACTATAAAACTAGGCCTTTTCTAGGTAGAAGCAAGACTAGGCTATCCTAGGCCTAGACGGGACGATGATGGAATGGAACTGCAGGGAGAAGCCCAGTCGGCTAGCGTTTGGACGAATGGTAAACAAGCCTAGGCCTATATAAATGGCCTTCGGGAGATGGAGTTTTTGAGTGGTTTGTAAAAAAAAAAAAAATTCAGGTCGGGGGCTTTTCCGACGGTCGGGCGGGGATGTTTGCCAATTATTTTATTTTACGTGGCCTAATCTAGGCCTAGCCTATTATTTGAATTTGGCATGCAATGGCGAAAATTTATTAAAAAGTGGATTTCCCGGTTATAAGCCCACTCCGAACTAATGTTATGTTCAATGGGGTGGGAAAAAAGAATCTCAGCCTCCACCTGGAATCGAACCCAGGACCTTTTATACACAGCGAACGTCTTACCAACTAGAACATGATGGTCGATTCGATAATACTATATAATATATATATATATATATATAGTATA